GTTATAATTTATTTGATAATGAGCTGCAGTTATAGTTGTCTGATTTATTGATAGAGCACTGTGTTTTCACGAGCTGAAGTTTAAAGCGTGTCAAAGTTGTCTGTTCATCTGATACGGGTAAATTGATGTTTTGGATTTGGGAAGATGATGGTTTTGGTTGTATGGATTATGAAGTTCTGAACTTGTGTATGATCTTTTGTTGCTTTTCCAATTTGAGAACTTTACTTATTGACGAATAAATACAGAAAAAAAGGATTTGGGTTTGTCGTGTTAGTTCTGCATAGATTAGTTTAATTAAATGACACAAGGGTATATTTATTTTGATTGATGGATTTATTTAAAGATTGATATGAGCATGCCTAGAAATTTCAAATTTCTGAAATTAGCTTCATGAAAATTTATGGCAGTGCAAGTTTCAACTTAATCTTTATAGAGTTAGATGTATGATCATTACAGATATGAATTATTTTCAGAAATGTTTGCAACTAAATTTTTACTTGGCTTTTTGCATAAATAGTTCATTGTGCTTAAATTATCTGGAGTTGCACTTTGGTTGACGGATTTATTGAAATAATCGATTGTGTGCGAATGTGATTTTCAAAGTAATTCAGTTATTTCTTGAAAACTGCTTTCCATGTCAACCATATTTCATAAAGAGAAAACTGAAAACGGCTAATTAAGTGCTAGGGTATTGGAATTCGTTTTTAAGTTGAAAGTTTCTTGCCACTGCTTGTGCCTTTGTTTTAAAAATTGGGGGTTTCATCTGCAACCAATTGTATTTTTATGTAGCGCATTTTGAAAACCAGAATAACTGTACCGTGGTTTGGAAACTTTATGCTTTTTACCAACATAGAGAATTGAACAATTTTCGAGTAGCAAATTCTTTCTCTTATAATGATAGCCACGCCTATGCAATAAGAAAAAGTACAAATTATATTTGGAAAATTGTGTTCTGCTTATTTTGATGAAGTGGAGTTGATCTTGAAGTAAATTCATGGGTATGTCAACAGTTCCTGAGTCACATGATTGTCAGCTCTTACATTCACCAGTTTTTTTGGTAACCTTAATCTGTCGAAAAAATTTCTTCCCAATTGTTGTTTCTGAGAGTTTTATCTGTTCAAGTCATGAAACTTGCAATGTATTTACTGTTTATAAATTTCAACTTGCAAAAGTTATTTTATTAGTTTTGCATTGTCCGTTAAGTGCTTTTCCCGTTCCTTGCTGTTTTGTATGTTCTTTAGAAACACTTTTCTGCTTTGCAGCCTGGCCCAAGAGACTCGCTCGTCCAGTGTTTTATTAAACGGAATAGTTCTACACAAACATTCTATCTTTACCTCAGTTTATCTCAAGGTACGCAATTGTTCTTTCAACTCATCTCTGACTAACATTTCAGAAGCTATATTTCGGCTTCCACTAAACCCCTGTTCCAAGTTTAGCTAGAATTGTTTTTCTAATACTTGTACTCGCTTTTTTGCTATTCTGTTCAACTCTCGGGGAGGAAGATTTACGACTTATGAGACGTAAAACAAAAAATATGCAGATGGGCAGGGGAATACTAATTATAATGATTTCATCATTCACTTATTTGAACATAATTTTTGGTTTCTTTTAGAGTTGTTAACTTGATTGAGGGTGAGTAAATTGCTTACATGATTCATGGGGTTGACAAATTTTAATATAATTGTAAAAGTGAATTACGCGATACCTGAGACCAATGTTCGGAGCAGATTTACTTTTAAAGAAAAGATTGGATTAATTGTGCAAGGATTAGGAGCCATTAAGAATGTTTAAAGACTATCTATCAGAACATTTGTACCAACTGCGCACCTTAAAGTTCATCTTCCATTCCAAATGCTATTCTTATCTCCCCGTCTTAGTGCATGTTTGGATGAGCTTAAAAGTTTCGAGAAAGTAAATTGAGATTTGTTTACTAGAAAATTAAGTTTTGTGAGTAAAAGAATAACTTTTAAAATCGTGTTTGGCACATGCTCTAATCTTTATATATTGTCTTCCACGCCATAATTCTTTGCTAGATATCTTCATTATATGCGTTGATGACAGCAGTTGCAGACCTTGCTTTTTATTTTTTTTTGACATCTTTCTTACTGTCTCTGGCAGCTCTTGCTGATGATGGCAAGTTTCTTCTAGCTGCTCGTAAGTACAGGCGGGCAACATGCACGGACTACATAATTTCCCTAAATGCTGAAGATATGTCCAAGGGAAGTTGCACTTACGTAGGAAAATTAAGGTCTGCCAACTTTTGGCCTTTTTAGCATTATTATATATACTTTATATTTCTAGAAGAGCCTTAATAATGCCTTTCCTTTTCTTTTTTCACAAGGTCCAATTTTCTGGGAACTAAGTTTGTTGTGTATGATGCTCTGCCTCCACACGCGGGAGTTAAAATGGCCAAAAATCGTTCCACTCGGATGGTGAGCTCCAAACAAATTTTTCCTGGAGTTCCTGCTAGTAACCATCCAGTAGCTCACATTTCATATGAGTTGAATGTAATGGGAGCGAGGTACGGGGAATATTTATGCTATTCTTCTTGTTTCAATTGAGTTGAGATGGTATCAAGTCTAAACATAAAAAAATGAGATCTTAAAATTGAACAATACATTCTTAAAAGGTATATTGAAATGTGATTCACTATATGCGTTTTTATAAAATTTTGGACATGGAAGAGATTGTTGGCTTCAGTATCTTTTAAAGCATGTGAAATTGATTGGAAAAGTATAAAATAATTGTGTGACATGCAGGGGTCCGAGAAGAATGCAATGTGTTCTGGATGCAATTCCAGCTTCTGCTGTTAAACCTGGAGGCGTGTCTCCCACACAGATGGATTCCCTTGTCAGTGGTGTCGATTCCTTTCAACAGACCCCCTCTTCCTGGTCAGGATCAAATGATTTGAATACTGCCTTATCCGGACCGTTGGATAGCCAAAGAGATGGATCACTTATTCTGAGAAATAAGGCTCCAAGATGGCACGAGCAACTCCAGTGCTGGTGTTTGAATTTTCATGGGCGGGTAACTGTTGCATCGGTGAAAAATTTTCAGTTGGTGGCTTCTCCTGAGAGTGGCACGGTCGGAGCAGAACAGGGAAAGGTCATCCTTCAGTTTGGGAAAGTTGGGAAAGATGTGTTTACAATGGACTACCTCTATCCAATATCAGCATTCCAGGCATTTGCCATTTCTCTTAGCAGCTTCGATACTAAAATTGCTTGCGAATGATAAGGAATGAATGGTAAAAATCTAATCCTTCATTTGTATATGTTCATATTTGTCTTAATCAAACTTGGCATGTTCCTGCCTATATGCATTCTGAATATATCTGAGTGTACATGGCATAACATTAATTTGTTGGTATGAAAAGATAATTATTTAGTTTATTTCACCAATTTGTTGTCAATTTAATATAATATCGTGTCCGAGGGAGGATTTTAGCAGTGGGGGTGGGGGTTTACGTACAATTTTTCATTATTATTATTTTTTAAAATCATTTTTTATGTGGAATTTTTTTCTTTTCATGTATTTGCTGAGCCTAAATTTTTTTAAACCTTCTGTTTTTGCCGCTGATCGTTTCACATTGGGTATTTGGATACTCTCAACACTTGATATATGTCTGGTAAGGAGAGTTGAAGAAACATGACTAGAGAATGATTCACAAACCTTCTGCTTATGAGATTTTGCTCTTATGTAATTTTGATAAATGATACTTATTTCACTAGTTAGTTTCACCTTCTGTTTGATATTTGGAATGTTGCTCTATGTTACCTATCTACTTGCTGAAATTCCTCGTATTTGGCCATTGTATAGTTTTAAGTAGTCGAATAAATAGTATATATATCCAAAAATATAATTCTGTTTCACCTGTTTGCCGAAATTTTTCAAGGATTGTGTTCCAATTTCCATGTTCTACATGCCGGAGTTTTATTTCTTGCTTCATATGATGTCTCGTGCTAAGGTTAAGAATGCTATTTAGGACATGGGTAAGTCCATTTTGGTAGATATTGTCTCTGTAAATGCTGTTTTTGTAGCGTATGCTCGTTTCTTAACACGATGAAGATTCACTTTTACGTCCTCTGCAACTTAACTCCATGTTTGCTGTTGGTACTCGAGCAGGGAATTTGTTCGACATGATGCAATAAAATTTCATGGGAACTTGTCGTGTTGGGAATGCAAATAAGACTCGAAGAAGCATATACGAAGTCGTACTTTCTCATTTCAAAGCTTGCAGCAAACTTTAGTTGCTCGATGCACTATACATAAATGGGACGCCTTAAATGTTCAAGATTTTAGGGGTTTGTTGTATACATATTTTTTCTTTTATGTACATACAAGGATATGTTTTCTATACCTATCTTTTCTTATATGTACATACAATTTGGAATTCTTGTTTCAAGTTCTTCGTTGTCCTCATCCAACATTGGCTAGTCTTGCTATTGTAATAACACCTTTTAGCATTACACAAATATTGAATAGAACTGAACAGTATAATCCACGAGATATTGACTTCTTGTTTGTATAATGTTATTAACTTCGCTCTCTTGACTATGCGGTTAAGCCAAATTTGGTTCAGTCCCCATTTTCTAGGATTTCATTTCGATCAAAACCCGAAAATGATCTCGACCTTTTCTCGAAAGGAATCTAATCAGGTTACGACTAGAGTGAACTTTTTTCGTCGACTCATAAACGCCTTATAAGCTTAGCCAAACATAGTACAAATAAAATGCAGTTTCAAAATACATAATCGAATTGTCATAATTTATCAGTTGATGCGCATGAAAAAAATCTCTCCCTGCAGCAAATATTCTGACAGCTTTCTTGACGAAGAAACAAACCCAATGTAACCAATTTTTTATCCCCCACGCTATCCCACCCAACAATCACACATGAATATATACATATAGCATGTGTACGTAATTGTGTAATCGATTTATTTAAGGGGTGGCAGAACAAAAATTAGTGGAACTAAGAAAACTGTTTCTGGGCATAAAATTATGGAGCGCTATAAGGATTCAGTAATTCCACCATCAATATCTGATTTTGCACCGTTACGAGGGATTTGTATAAGTGAAAAGGGTTCGAGTGGGAGAAACGAAACTTCTCCAACTGATAGTATACTTAAAGAACGTGGAAGAAGAGAGAAAATGAATGAGAAATACTCTGTTCTTCGTTCAATGGTGCCTAGTCTTTTCACCATTTCTAAGGTTAACTCACTTCTTTGTTGTTTAATTTCAAAATTATTGGGGTGGGTTGACTGTATTGTTGTTCAATTAATATGAACAGATACACGATTTGGTTAGTGATGATCGAATTTTGAGAATTTAATGATAGTTTATTTTTATTTATACTTGATGTTTTGATTGATGTTCATGGGTTGTTTTCGATTCAACTCCATCTCTACATTGATATACTGTTATTTGATTCTGCCTAATTTTATTCAAGAACATTGAATTTTCAAGAATTCAAGATGTATATCTGTTAAGGACACATATAGGTGCCTAGATCCAGTTGTCATATGCGTGTTCATGGAATACTGTATTACATTGTTTGATAGAAAGTTATTATGAAAAGTGAAGTGTAAGAAGATGTTTTCATTCTCAGCCGACTCTAAATTTAGTTGGAACGAGTCTTAGTTTCTTATTGAATCGAGGCTTAGTTCGTAGTTGAATCAGTTAATAAAATCATTTGGTAGAACTAAAATTGTGTTTTATTATTCCGTGGTGCTAGTCTTTTTGTTTTATTTCACATATGTTGTAAAACTTATGTATAGATAATTAGGCTCGGATGCATATATATGCAGCTTACATAATTTGGTTAGTGATGATCCAATTTTGAGATTTTAGTGACCGTTCATTTCAATTTTCAGTTGCGATTTTGTTTCTTGTTTTTGGGTTGTTTTCAATTCAGATCTATCTCTGCTTTGATATACCATTTCTTGATTCTGCCTAACTATATTCCAGAACATTGCGTCTCAGAGAATTTAAGATATCTGATAATAATTGATTTATGGACTAGAAATAAGGAAGGTATATATTGCTAGGTACCCTTCTATGGACACATTTGGGTGCATGAATCCAGGTAAGTGTGTATTTGAAACTTTTTCTAGAACTGCAAGTAAACATCCAATTTCGTGCATGTGTTGGAGCCTGCTCAGTAGATTTTTTACAGAAACACGAAGTATAAACAGATGTAGTTCCTTCTTTACAGAATCTCAATCAGTTTATAAAATCATCCCACCCCAAATTTACTGAGAACCAGACTTTAGATTATTGTTCAATTAGTTTATATAATCAATCGGAGGAACTAATATTGTGTGTTCTGCTTGCTCTCTGAAAACTTGCAGCCAACTAGAGAGAAGATTTTGTATGATACAGTAGACTACATTGAATGCCTAGAAGAAGAGATAAAGAGGTTGGAGGGTATAAAGAAACTACAAGTGCAAGAACAAAAGGTGGGAAAACAAGTTTCATCAAGATTGAACAACCAGAAGTCTGCTGTTGATATTACTGTTTCCAGCGGAGCCACATTCTTTGCAATTCAATTACCCTTCAAACCTGGTATAATTACCGAAATTGTTAAGGTATTTGATAAGCATCAAGCAGAAGTTTTGGAGGCAACAATTTCTGTCGACGACCAGCAATTGCTAACATTCACAGTCACAATAGTTCTTGGGAGAGATGGAGGTAATACAATACAGAAGATAAAGGAAGAAATTATAGCCTTATAGGTAGTTTTCTGATTTATGTGCTTAAATCACAATTTAACAATTTGAATGTTTATTGATTCACGGTCCATCTTTCGTGAGGATTGTGTTTAGTTTTTGATTATCATTCATAGAATGCATAAGGGGAGATTGTTATAGTAGTTGCTCTTTATGTATACATGATGTTGCAGGAAATATACTTTATACAAATTTTGTCTGAATTACACCATATATAGAAGATAATAGCAGTTCCTATTTTCTTCTTGCTCTTGCAAAATGCAATACATATATAGCACAATTTGATTGATAGAGGATTTCTGGCTGAACAATACTCAGAGATTGGAGATTATTCCTTCTATAAGTTGAAAAATGTTATTTTATTTCTTCTGGCCCGTTAAGGATATGTTTGAAATAAGTATAGAATATAAACTTACAACCAATCGTAAACTGGTTTTCATGTCCTCAGGCAGGGCTGGACATCACTGCTTCTGCTTATACTTGGTACAAAGCTGCAATAGGTGCTGTGATGTTTCGTTCATTGCTGTTTCTTCTTCATCTTTCATTTTTTTGCTCAACTCGTTAGCTTTTGACCTGATGTCTTCTCCAGTCGACTTCTCTACAACCACCTTATTAATTGCTTTTGCTATCTCACCTCTCTTAAACTCTCTATCATAGTCTCTTGCAACCTCCACACTGACCCCAGCCTCGACCACGAGCCTAGCATTTAGAGGTTGGTCAAGTTTCAAAGGCATGGCTATAACAGGAATGCCAAAATGAATGCTTTCCACTATAGAACTCCATCCACAATGACTCACAAAACCACCAATGCTTGGATGTGCCAAAATTTTAGCCTGTGGTGCCCATCCCTGTACAATCATACCTCTATCTTTCACCCTCTCAGAAAATCCCTCTGGCAGTGTTTCTTCTATTCTTATGGTATTCCCAAGAGGAAATCTAACGACCCATATAAAGTTAACATCACAAAACTCTAATCCCAGTGCCATCTCTTCAATTTGCTCCTTGGACAAGTAGTTTTCGCTACCAAAGGAAACATATACAGTTGACAACGGACTTTTCTTGCTTAGCCACTGCAAGATCTCTGAATCATCTTCTTCATTCGTAGGTTGTGTAATAAGTGGTCCAACAGGTACTACTTTTTTCCGGGACAAGACAGATAAATAATCAATATATTTCCCCTCAATCGCCCTGCAGCTCATCATTAAAACAATGTCACAAGATCGTTTGAAGTTTCCAAAAGCAAAACCTTCATCTGCATCTTTAATATTCAGTTGAAAATCCGTCTCTTTCCTTTCATAGTCCTGTAGATATATTGCCGGATAAGGGAAATTTGCATTCCCATATGTGAAGCGATGATGGCCAAAGGAATACGGCGTTGCTCCTGCAGTGGAAAAATGAACTGCAGGAATACCTAGTGATGAAGCAAGTGCTGCAGCCCATGGTTGGAAGACATCATAGAATAGCAAGTCAGGCTTTAGAGTACTGATAATGTCTGAAAAGCTGGAGCTTGACATTTGAAAGGCCTCCAGGAGCTTTGGCATAAGCTCAGGTGGCACATTTTTGGTTGTGTGGTAATGAGGAGGAAGATCAGGCCATGATGGTAAATGGAGTTCGATCAGTTCTATCGAGATATCCCAGAAGTTTTTTTCAATGGTTTTACTGATTGAACTAAGATTGATTGCTGTAGAACAAAAGTATATGTGGAAGTTTTTTTGTGATAATTTCTTAGCTAGCTCAAGATAGGGGAATACGTGGCCATGAGCCAACCATGGGAACATCAGAATTCTTAGACTAGTTTGATCTGTTTCCATAAGCGAAAGCTGCAGAATTTTAAGAATACAGGTAAATAGGATGTTTCGTGTATATGATGAAGTTCTCCACTGTGATTCATTATTAAGTACAAAGGGATGAAAAGGTCAAGAGAGACTTGCTTTGTAAGTTCAGACATGTTTGTATTTTTATGACCTGGAATTAGCTACTTGGAGTTATTGGATAGTCGATTAAATATTTCCATTTGAATGCTTCAACAGAAGAAAACAATGAACTACGTCACTTGCTAGATTATAACAAGGGAAGAAAGGGTAAAACCTCGAAATTTTAAAGAGTGATAAGTAGCATACATGACAACTTAAAAAGTTTGATAAGTGTATTTTGTACACTTATGTATACCATTAAATTAGAGTATTTGTTAGTGATTTGAACGATTTATATCTTAATTTTGTGTTAATTATGTTTATTAGGTTGAACTCAATACAAATTGGTGGATTTGAAAGAAAGGAACGAAAATTGTGCGAAAATGAGGAAATTCAAAGTTCGGGGACCAAAGTGTAAACATCCAATAGTTGATTCTGACCAAAAAACGACGACTGAAGATCATATAGGATCAATTGGATGCAATTGGAGGGCAAATAAGTGAAATATAGTGGAAGTATTTTTACAAATCAATTTTCAGCGGAAGAAGTTATGCTCCGAATTTTTAGTCTCAACTTGAGATCCATTTTTCGGATAGAAAACGTTCGAATTAGAAAATAATTACTCCAGAAGAATTGTATCCCTTTAAATTATCTTTTCAACGCATTTTGAATCATCTCAATTGAATATCTATAGAGAAAATTATGGTCAAAATACTGAAAACTGCTCAGGGATGAACCGAAGCGAACTTGCGCTCTCGTGGTACCCTATTTTCCCCCAACCCGACCCATTTGGCTCAACGGTGCGTGTGTGGTGGTTATGCCTGTGCGTGAGCGCATGCCATTTCCGCATATAAATCAGCAGTTTTCTTTCGCGATTCAAACTCTTTTGGAACCCGAATTGGACGCAATTTTGACTTATTTTCTGGCTCTTATAAAAAGAGAACTTAGGGCTACACATTGAAAAAAAACCTCTCTTGCCTCTTCATACAAAATATTATCATCAAATTCATAAAGAACAATGGGTCAAATATTATATTTTGAGATAAGAGATCAAGCCATAGCAAGAAATTGAAGGTCAATTATATCAAGATTTTGAAGAATTCAACATTGTGCTTAAAGATCAACTTCTTTTGAATTATTTCATGATCCGGATGATATTTTTCTATTGTCCTTTTTTAAATTTATATATTAACGTGTTACGCTAAATTCGTTTTTTGTATTGGATAAAGATGAATCCCTTTGTTTATTTATTTTAAATCAAGACTAGTAGTTTAATTTAATTCTTATCTTTCTTGATTAACTTTTCATATTTCCATAAATAATAAAAAAAACAAGATTAACTTTTCATATCCATTGCATTATTTAATTGATTGACCACTAATTAGATAATTAGTTGCTTGTTATAGTGTTGAGAGATTTACGACAAGTTTAAAACTCGACAAAATTAACATATATGCAATAGATGTTAGAAATAACATTTATCACATGTGCAATAATATAAATAATCTAAACTTTAATGCATTCTAATCATTCGAATTTGGGCTAGGAATAGATTCGGGACGTGGTTAGGATAAATTTAATTTTTTTTTGAAAAGAAAATTATATATCATAATTTTATCGATTGTTAAGAACATAAGAACGAAATCAGATTACAAATCAAGAATTGAAATAGATAGCAACAGACAGATTCAAAATCCAATACAATAATCCACAATTCGATAAAATCCTAATTTCATCGCTTTTTTAGATTAATTTAATATAAAACAAAATCAAACTTTCTTTTGTTTACATAATTCAAATCCCATAAAAGCTAGTAAACTTGAGTTTTATTTATTTCCTGTTGGACGATAAACTCATCAATTCTATTACTTGTCAACAATCCTGTACGCTTGCGGGTTTCGTACGAACAAAGTTTTATAGTTTATTAACATATATTTTTTAAAAAATTAAGGACCTAAATGTGAATTAGTAAAATTATCTCGTTGATGGAGAATATTATCAGTGTAAAAATTAATATTTAGAAATTATTACTTGTAAAAAGATGAGTTTAGGCGCACTTTAGCGATTTATAGTAAGTTTAAGGACTAAAGTATAAATTAAGGAAAAAGATAAGAGTGATATTAAGCCTTGAGAATGTTGAAGTGATGTCTTGATGAGAATAGTAGATTTGCGAGCTTAAACCACAGTTATGAAACCCGAACCGGAACGCCCATTCGGTCCGAAAAATGGCGAACCGGATCCAGGTCCGGTCCGGTCCGAGCCTGTCTTATTTATTCATATGTAATGAACCCGCCTCAAACCCCGTAGAACCGGCAGTTTTTTATGTGACCCGGCGGACCCTTTTTTATTGAACCTCCCGGGTTTTATCTTTTACTGAAAATAATAATCTCCTCCAGAGTTTCTCACAGTTCACGTTGCCTCCTCTGCTCCGTCTCTCAATCTCTTTGCAATTCAACCACTCCCAAATATCCAAATCTCCAATTTCAAGTGTTAATAGATGGAAGAAGAAATGGTAAGTTTGATTTTTGTTTTTTTTTTATACCCTTTTTGAAGCTTTTCTTCGACTGATGGAAAATCTGAAATTACCCCTTTCACTTTGCTTATTTTGGTTGAGAACTGGAAAGTGACTAAGGTCTGTATTCTCAACCTTTTAGTTGTATGCCTACTGGAAAATCTTTCATTATTGGTAAATGCTTTCGCTGAACTTTTTTTTTTTGTGCCACATCTTTGCAGTGTTCAGAACCAGTGTTTTCCATAGTCCCTTTTGTTTGTCCATTGAGATTCAGAAATTAGAATGTACATATATTGGAATGAAAGAACCATTCACATTGGAAGATAGACTGAGAAGAAACTACAGAGGAGCAATGACCTTAAACCTGGCATTGGTTTTAGATGAGAATGTGAAAAGTCTAGACATTTAGTGATGATAAGTATCATCAGATAGTAAGGATTATCATTTGAAGAATAATGAGATGTCGAGGGACGGAAGTGAAAACAAATTTTGAATTCAATAATTTATTTATATTAAATATATAATTATTGAAGAGCGAGAATTACCCTATCAATATGAGGCTCATTTTGAGACTTGCATTAAATACTGCATTGTGGGCTCAATGAGAAGTTAATTTGGATAAATTAAATTAAAATAAATTACTTGATGCTTATTATTAATTTTTAAATTAAACGAAATTCCCATATCATTATTTGGTCAAAAATAGTTAATTTGGTCAAGCTAGGACAGAGTTTTAACCGTGTAAAGTAATTCATGTAAAAAGCTATAATTAAGGGGATAACCTTTGTAAGTTGGTCATTTCTTGTTGCCATTTTGGGTTGGTCAAATTACTAGATTGTGATAGAAAAAATCTAGATTGAAGATGAAATAGAAAATTAAAATTAAAATTGTTAATTTAATTTATTTTTTAAAAATAAAATATAAAAACTAACTATACGTTCATTTAATATTTTAATTATTTATTTGGGTTTGTTTACACTTTTTTTTAAAAAATAATTGACACTAAAGTTGTAGTTAATTCTTTATTTTTTCTTCTTTTCTTTTTGTTTCACTTAAAAACGAGGGTATATTCGTCATTTTACAAGTTTTTATTGAGAAAATTAAAGAAAATGTTATATTCTGCGAAGAAAAGGTCATCTAGAGGGGTTTTGAGCCAAAATGAAAGGATAGGAATATATTTCACAAAAGAGACAAAAATCATGGATGTTTTATGCTAATTACCTCGCACATATGCATAGAAACTTACGAAAAGTATTTTAACCTTAAATTTTTTTAAAGGATTTTAAAGCAGCAGAGGTAAAGTTTCCTGTACTTTAGTTGATTTTCCACATTTTCTCAATTTTATCATTATATGTGAATTTAATTACCTCATTTCCGTGCTCATTTGGAAGAAATCATGAGATATTTACAGGCTTATACTTTCAGGTTATAGTTTACCTTCACATTATTTTGTAGCGCTTGCTTGAATTGTAATTCTAAGTTTATTTTTGTAAGAGAATCTTTATATATGATTACATATTTGGTTTGATGGTGGTGTAGAAAGCATATCATTGAATATAATTCGTTATATTCATCACTCTAATTAACAAATTTCATATGACAATTAGCGTACTGAACGGCGATTGATGGATCATTGTGCTATTGGATCACGGATTCTTTCTAGAAAGTTCCTTGAAAATTAGATATGTTAGGATTTTCCTAAGTTACTTAATTTTCTAGAGAATGAAACTCTCTTTTCAATTCTATTAATATTTTATAATTTTGGGACATGTTATCTTCTCATAACCTCAAATTATGCTAAAACATGTCATATTGCTGAGTTAGTATAGTAGAAATTGTGTGAACCTTCCATTTGAATTTTTTCAGCATTCTATCCGTACTTTAAAAATTCACTTCAGATTGTATACTTCGAATTCCAGGACTCCAATTGGAAAATGGCCCTTTACAAGTAATCTATCATCGAGAATTAAAATCATGTTGATTGGAGGCTCGAAGAATTTATTAAGATATTTTTTATAAATTACGTTAAACTACAATCTGGCCGTCTGAGCATCTTTGAAACATGTTTGTGTGTCTCAAACGTTGTTATCGAGATTTCAAATTTTGATATGTTGTACGTATATGAGTTTTGTTGTTTGTGTAAATATTTCATGAGTTAGTTGGACGTTTGCCAAATCAAAATAATTTTTACGACTCTCTGCACGAAAAACAACACCAGCTTACTGGAATTTTATTAGCGCCTTTTTAAAATCATTTTCCCATAATTTTCTGACGTATCTAAGCCCCTGTTTGAGATAGTTTTTGGAATAATGTATTCTGGAATATTAATTTTTTTTTATGTGTAATATTATTTTATTGAAGAATGGGTGGTTAAAAATAATTTTTTTTTAAAATTTTCGTGTAATAATATTTTATTGAAGAATGTATGATTGAAACGAAAAAAGAGAAAAATATATTAAATTATAATCAAGACCAAACAGGCGCCTAATTGGATGTTTAACATTAAGAAACGTGGGGACTTCATTTAATGAGCCTAGTCAAATCAAGTTTTAGCTTAAAAAGTCCACCAACTAAGTTTTTTAGATAGCTAGCCTCAAGATACAAAGAAAAAGAAAATACAATTTGTAAATTACTAAAATATCCTTGTTTGAAAAATGCATAGATTTTCATTACGACATTGAAATCGTT